ATTCAACAAGAACGACGCTTGAAAGACCCCTTGATCACGCAATCCAAGAATTAAATCCGGTTGTTTGAACGCTACAAGTTAACACTTGATAAATTTGAAGTTGTTTAAAGAAGAACGATGAAGAGACGACAATACGCCTCACTTTAATTCAATATCAATAATGTCAAAAGTTTTTAACAATTGAATGGAAACTCCTATTTATACTAAGCCTAAAAACTAGGTAAAAATAGTGCAAAAGTCGATCATAATCCCCAAAATATGGAAAAGAATAAAAAACTAACAAAATATGGAAAATTGCCAAAATTAGAAAATTAGCCAAATTTTTTGTCTATGCGGCCGCATGGTGTATTTTCATGCGATCGCATGGTTTAACCAAAAATCCATCCTGAGTTTCAGTATGCCTCCATGTGGTCGCATGGTGTTCTAGCTGTATGGTCGCACAGGCTTGTTTTCAGCCTTCGATTTCATCGCTTGATAACAAATTGATCCAAATTGATTTGGCTCACGACCCGAACATGAAAGTTGCTCCATTTTAAGTCCCGAACATGGTTCCATAAATGGTTTCTTGAACGAACAATCTCATCGCTTGTTTCACTTGCTTTGTCCTTGATCGCATCATTGGTCCGCCATCGACTATCAACGGGTCTTGTCTCATACTCGCCTTCGTCGGGCTCGACTCTTGGATTATATCACCTTTCGCTTTTCTTTTTGTTCCAGCAATCTTGATTCGTCATCCACAGCTGTCCAATTATCCAGCCTCCAACGGTGATCCACACAGAAAACAAGATTGCAACTACCAGAGTTTTCTCCTCTTGTACTAATAAGAATAATTAAGAGAAAAACCATATGGATTGAAAATTCTAGCCATGTATTTATATAAACTCAAACGGGCCTGACCTGGTTCGGTCCAATATTCAATTAATTAATTCGGGCATATAAATAACCAACCCAATTAATTAATTTATCCAACGATTGTTAAATTAATTAATTGACAAATTGTAATCTTTCAATTCGATTTTTTGTGCGACCCATCAGGTTTCCGATCACAATGCCTAACGACGTGAAATATTATTTTAATCTAATCAAAATTGATAAAGTAAAATACCCTTTTAATTTATCATCAACTCACACTCGCCGTCCCAGATTGACATCTAACAATGTCTCAGGACAATACATGTGACGAAAAATGTCACGTGGTATGACAAAACCAAACTCGTTCATTTACCGTGACCCTATAATCCATTCGTCAATATAATCCGATCAATTACGAGATATGAAAGTGTGTCAATCTCGATTATCGATCATATCTTTCACTCTACTATTAACTCAATATAAGTGAAAACTCCTTTTCGACTTATGAGTATACCTTGACCAATGATTTCGTTATCGACTTAATTGAATGAAATGCAAATCATAATCTCTTACTATCTAAGAGTGTCGAATCCTCTATTAGTCATTCACAACCTTTATATGATTATTGACATACCCGAACGATGTCGTATTAGCAACCCTTGGCAGAGCAACATCCAACACTGTCAAAACATGACCGTCTTCATATAAGGTACTATGACGACCTCAAGTCAAAAAGACCAATCCCACTATCGAACGTTAGAGATTAATCACTGACACTCAGATAGTTATCCATGTGGAATCTCTCGATGGGTCTCCAATGTTTTGTTTTATAACAAAACATCCACGTATTCATTTAAATGTTACCACACTTTAACTTGTGAGATCAGCTACTTACTTCATAAGTAAGAAATGCCACATGTGATGGTCTATTTGTAATAACGATATCCGTATCTCGTTATTACTTATGACCACGGACGATATAAGATTCAATCAGATGTAATTTGTATCTCACAATTACAGCTCCTTGTGATTAACAAATTACGAAGATTTGAATCTACGAAGTCTATTATTTATTTAATTGTCTATTAATTAAATAATAGATCTGTCATTAAATTACATTAATTATATATCAAAAGTATTTATGTCCAAGTTGATTGGACCTAAGACATAATACTTACAGTTTGCATCTCTTGATTGCACCAAAAGTGAGTATTCTACCATACGAGAGGTGTTTGAATTGGTGGCTAAAGAAATGTATTCATGGGACAAAATTAACTTCAATCATCATTCCTATACCTGAATTAACTTCTGGATATTTGTAATTTAATCCTCCAACTTTTTAACTTTCTTTTTCGTCCCTCTGTGGCTGATTTTAACTTCTTTACACCAAGAACAATCCAAACGCAAGTTTATCCTACAATAATCAGTTTTTAATCAAATTAACTAGTAATTTAATCAAATCAACGACCAATATTCACTTTTGATGGTCGGGTATCAATTGTTTGAGATGGAAGACAAAGAAAAACAAAAGAATCTCTCTTCTAAAATTATGTAAACTAGACTTCTTCTTAAAGTAATACTTTCATTGGTATAATGAGACCAATGTAAGTAATACTTTTAATTTTGTCTTTTCTAATATATTTATCGTTTTTTATTTACATCAAATTTCATTTTAAGGATGATTCTTCTACTTGTGATTTTATGTTCTTTTGATTGACTAAAAAGATAAGAAATCGTATGTTCTACAATGAATTTGCAAGGAAATTAAATTCGAGGACCTGAATAGAAAATAACTATGTATCCAAACAAATTTTAACCCGAGATTCAAATACCAAAAATAGAAGATTTAGCACGTTACTTATCTTGTTTATTTTAGGGTTTGGTAGATGCTTTCACCTGCCTGTTGCTGTCTATGTCTAATTTGTACTTTGTAGTTTTGTCGTTTCCATGAATTAACCGATTACTAGGAGCAAATGAGTATATTATGAATTATTATGTCCCGTTTGAGCTCCATTATTTTTCATTACATTAAATTAATTTTTTTCTCCTATTTTTAATCATATAATTTTCAATAAAATAATATTACACGCAAATCAAAAACTTTTCAATCACTTATTTTTCAAAAAAATACTATTCATCTCGTTAATCTACAAATAAATTGAAATAATGGGACTCAAACGAGGCTACAGACCTTAACTTGCTTCTCAAACAAGCTTTCTTAAGCATATAATGGGCATAATGGGACCCTAAATTTTGGACGCAAGTATTGTATTTTTCAGGGTTTTTATTTACGTTTATTTTAATTCAATTTTATCAAATTTTATTTTAATTGCCCGATTGTCTTCTTTTTAATTTTTTTCCTTTTCCGTGCACGGTTGGATTTGTATTATTTTTGGAAATTGGGAAAATCAAATGCAAATCTGATGCATGTGCCTCAGGTGGAAGGTTTCACTACAATGTTTACTTTGCAAGCTTAATGATGCATCTTGTGAATTGAGTGATTTTATCATTGATTCTGTTAAGAATTAGGGTTCTATCTAAAAAATTCAACCTTACTAAGAGGAGTAATTCAAGAACCTATAAGTTGAATTTATGTTTTCATCTTTATTCGATGTGTAATTTTATTCCCTAACATGCCCCCGCAAGATGGTGATTCGTTTGAGTTGATCAATTTTGAAATTCATCTGCTCATTTTTTTATTCTTAATTGGATCAAATTGGTCGTTGGAGTTTAATGGACTCTGATACTATGTTAAGACTTGGGGTTCCATCTTAAAAGGTCAACCTTATTAAGAGGAATAGTCCAAGAACTTATAAGTTAATCTATATTTTCATCTTTATTCGCCATGGGATTTTATCCCTTAACAGATTCTCCCTTTATCTTATCTATAAAAAAATTTCCTTGTTTTGGGCATTTGTTGTTCGTACATAAATTCATTTCAGTGAACTAAATCTAATATTTAATAATTGCATCAACTACTTGAAAAATGCTAATAATAGAAAGGGTGAAAGGGAAAAGCTGAAATGGGCAAGGGTGGTTGGTGCAGGTGAGAGTTGGAGAAGACGAGGCATTGGGAAGAAGCCGTATAAGAATAAAATTCAGATTTGCAGTGAAAAAGAGGTTTCGAGGTTTCTTAAATGGAAAATTTTAAGTATACTCGTAAACTCATTATATATTCGTATTCGATACGTATCCCAGTTTGAATATTTTCGAATATATATTAGATACGTGTTCGTTTAATTATATCATACTTTTTTATATTTTTTAAATTTCGAATACATAATGGGTACTTATCTTTCAATCATTGTCAATACTTATCGTCTATGTTAGAGCACGTAAATAATTTTTTTGTTGGTTTTAAATTCTTTTAAAATTCATTATTATTAGAAATAATTGATAAAAAGAAATTACTAAATATATAACTATTATTATTATCAATAACTTATTGAAAACATATAATATTTATTGGAAATACACAAATATAGTTTTATTTTAATTGCCTGTTAGAGGTTTTTTTTTTTTTTTTAATTGAAAACACACAATAATATTACTTTTTAATACATATAAAACTGTCTTAATAGTTAACAAATATGTATTTTATATTAAAAATAGATCATACTATTAAATCTATATTCAAAAGGAGAATTCGACATTGTTGGATATTCATTTGATACTCTCAGTGTTGAGCTGCTTGATATTGATAATCATTCATTAGATGAGTTAAAGTTGGAAGAGTGTTATTTTTAATGATAATTAACAAACTGTTGTTGAAGAACATTAAGTTGGGACAATTAAAGATTAAGATAAAATGTTTTAGTATTTTATTTTATTTTATTTTATTTTTATTATTATTCTTCTGTTTTAATTATGTGTGTGTGTGTATTCGCACATCTTAATTTTTTTTTAAATGGTTGTATCGACGTATCTATAGTGTATCGTATTGGAATTACATATTCAAATCTGTGCTTCTTAGGTATAAACTGGTTACTTTGACTATAAAACGAGGGTCTTCTAAAAAATTTCGTACAAATGCTAGGACCTATTCCAATTCTATCTTATACAAATTTATCTAAGGTCTTGGTCATTGTAATCTTGTTTGTAGTCATATAGAGTCTAAGCTGAATCATTAGCAATTCTTCTGTTTAGCCATGGAGAACCTAAACTATTATCTTCTTGTCTTACCTTTAGTTTTTTATATGATATTGAAATACTTAGTAATCAATCCCCGCCAAAAGTCACCACCAAGTCCACTAGCACTACCAATAATTGGCCACCTTCACCTTATCAGGAATTCCCTCTATGAATCATTAGCTGCACTATCATCCCGATATGGTCCCATTTTTTCTATCAGGTTAGGGTGCAGATCGTTTGTTGTTGTTTCTTCTCCATCAGCCATAGAAGAATGCTTCACAAAAAACGACATTGTATTCGCCAATCGGCCTCGGTGCATGGCCGGTGACCTGCTGACATACAACTATGTCACCTTGGCATGGTCACCTTATGGCCATTTCTGGAGGATTCTCCGCCGACTAACTGTTGTTGAACTTTTCTCTTCACATAGCCTCCAAAAGTCGGCAAACATACGTGAAGAAGGAATACAATCCCTTCTTCGAGTATTATTTAAAAGCTCAAAGGATGGAATTCAAAGAGTTGATTTGAACTATTTGGTTTCTACCCTCGGTTTCAATGTTATGATGAGAGTTATTGCTGGAAAATGGTGTGTTGAAGAGGAAAATCTGAACTCACTTCACAGAAAGAGAGATGATTATATTAAGATTTTGATAGATGAGGTTAAAGGGACTGGTATTACGTCTTCTGATTCCACAAGGGAGAAGAACACTTTGATTGAAATCCTGTTGTCTGTTCAAGAATCGGAACCTGATGTATACTCCGATGATGTTATCAAAAGCGTTATATTGGTAAGTAATTAATGTTATACTTTTCGCAAGCAAACTTGGATATCTTTGGGTCATATCAGCATATCATTGCGTTCAAATGTTTTATGAAAAGATAATATTTTACGACCCCTTAAAATTAACCTGTAAAGGAAGAGTATTCAAGAGCTTGTAATCCCACAAGTTTAAGCTTTAACTCAACAACATGAGACTTGCCTAGACCTCCATTTAGGATTGATGTCCACAGAGTAATTCCTGTTTCAAGATAGGTGACTTCTGCTGATTCTTCCTTGAATAGCAATCAAGTTTCTTAAGGTCGGGGGCCTTTGTGAAATATAGGTCATCCTCGTTATGGTGGTGGTTATTACAAAATTTGTAGCAGCATTTTGCTTTTTTTCACGAGAAATTGGAAATGTTGCAGAAAAAATAATGAGAAGGAATTGACATCATAATCAGATTTGGCTAATAATTTCTCTAACAAAAGTAGAAATGATCTCCTACCCATGGTGGATAGGATAAACATGCTCACCACTACGTGGCAACGCCACGTCAACCGTCAAGTCTACAATTTTTGACAATATAATATTAAATTGTCGAAAATTGTAGATTTACGTCAGCGGTGAGCAAGATAAATCATATCCATCATAGGTAAGATATCATTTCTTCTAATAGAAGTACCTCCTATTGTCTAGGTACTGTTTGTGGCAGGAACAGAAACCTCAGCAGCTGCTATAGAATGGGCTATGTCACTACTTTTAGATCATCCAGAGGCATTACATAGGCTAAGAAAGGAGATTGACACTAACGTTGGACATGGGCACTTGTTAAATGACTCTGATCTTGCAAAACTTCCATTTCTGCGTTGTGTTGTAAACGAGATGCTAAGACTGTACTCTCCAGTGCCACTGCTTTTACCTCACTGTTCATCCGAAGATTGCAGTTTAGGGGGGTACAGAATTCCTAAAGACACAATCTTGCTGGTGAATGCTTGGGCCATGCACAGGGATCCGAAGGTGTGGGACGAGCCCGAACAATTCAAGCCAGAGAGATTTGAGGCAATAGAAGGGGAAAGAGAAGGCTTCAAATTTGTGCCTTTTGGAATGGGAAGGAGAGCCTGCCCTGGAGCCGGTATGGGTTTGCGAACAGTTTCGCTGGCATTAGGTGCCTTTGTTCAGTGTTTTGAGTGGGAAAAAGTAGAAAGTGACAACATGAAAATGAACTATAATTCCAAAGTTACTATGCAGAAGGCTACACCTCTGGAGGCCATGTGCATTCCCCGGCAACATGCTTTTGATCTCCTCTCCCAACTCTGCAGTTGTTAAAGGTTGATATCCTTATCATTGCTATAAGTAGCTCTTCTCTCCAACCATTTCCACCAAAATTAAGCAATCAAATACTAAGAGCATTTGGTGTATGGTAGGAGAGATTCTCGTAAAAATTTGTATAATAATCAAAGCTATCTTCATATTACTTGTTTGTGTTGTGTCCAACATAAATAATCAATTATGCATTTTATCCAATTTGCATTAATGGGTTTAACTGGAGATATAAGATTGCTGCAGGAGTATGTAGGCTTTTGTTTAACATAGCAATAAGAACATGATAGGATTATTTATATTTTTCTTGTTACAAAAAAGAGAATCGGCAATATGAAAAGTATTAACAAGAACACAAGATTTTCTTGGAAATCCATGACGTGAAAAAAACAATGGACAGAGGAGGAAAAATTCACTCTAACAAATTGAAGGATGATTACAAAGATTATTGGATGATCTTCAGAGATGTAATTACTCCTAATATATCAATACAAATAAGAGTCTAACTTATGGTGAAGTCCTAATATAACAGCTTGACAAATAATAGTGTTTGAGGTTGTTTAGCAAAATCTGTCAAAATTTCGAATAGATTTTGCATCAGATAGCGGCAGCTAGTGAGCACTCCATCCACTGCTTGATCGCTTGGCCCGCGGTTTGCGAACAGTGGTGTTACTACAATTTCCGCTCGATTCCCACCTGTGCGGTTGGTGAGCAATCTTCACGCGATATGTTTTTCTCCTTATCCATCTTTGACTCCTTCAAGACTTATTCAAGGCAACCTATAAACTCCCAATATAATTCAGACCACACTCGAACTCTAACATTTCTTCTGTCAATCAATAGCTATTAGTGAGAAGTAGAGAATAAATTAAAGTAATGAAATCAGGGAAGCATAAAGGGGGAATGGGTTCGGCTATGGCCAAACCCAGTCTCCAGCCCATTTAATTTTTTTAGCGCAAAAAAAAAATTTAATGTAAAAAAAGAAGAAAGAATTATGCGTAAACTTTCCCTTTTTTTTTTTCTTTTTTTTTTCTTTTTTTATACATATTAGTCCAGCTTGTACTATGATCTTGGATCCGTCCCTAAAAGAAATTATGCTTTTTTATTATATGGATTGGTGTGATCAAGCAAGTAGGTATCTTTCTTGTCCTGTTCTTTATTTTTGCACAAGCGCGAGCTAGCTGTGTGTCTTGCCTGTAATGGGCAGTTTTGGACTAATTGAGAAAATGACTATAAATTTGCGATTGGTACTAGTATTATATAATATTGCACTAGTCGATAATGTTGTCGTGAAACTGAGTTTGGAAACATTTAAAGGAGCACGTAAAGATCCTTCAAGGCCTACTCTTCTCATTCATAGTTGGATCTTTTCAAAAAGCTGATGCAATGACAAAAGAACAAAAAAGAAAAGAACAAATCAATTGGGCACATTCGCAAAATCCTGTCATCATCTTTTGCTTCAAGGTGCACGTGAGATAATCCTTTTGTGCCTATATGTATGGTCAAAGGTGGTAGTTTGTGTTATCCAATGCAATTTTGACGGGCGTTCATCACAATACATTCCTCAAGTCACATATCACGCACATGAAGTACAAGATTGCCAAAAATGCAAACAACCCTTCTCTTTAAGCATTTTATCGAACACATTAAAGCAATCCCATTTTCTATTAGAACTACATGATAATTGTAAATACCAAATTCCCAATCCATCAATGCCCCGTCCAAAAAATCCATCACTGTGCAATCAATCCCAATCTCCTTCAAGTCATCAAACTTCGTTGCGCATAACAAAATTATATAGCAAAAGATAAGCAATTTATTTTCATACCTTGAATTTCTGGGGAGATAGATGGGCATTTGCATCTTTAGTGAATGGATGTCATGTGAAAAATTTGCCCCAATGCCGTGTGGTGTGTTTGCCATGAGATGTACGTGTGTGACTGTGTGATTTTGCGGGAAGAGAGGTGGAGGGGAGTGGCCGAGTGCGTGTTGTGTGTTAGGGATGTTTTGAAAATGTTTAAGTCCCAGGTTTTAAACTAGTGACCTCTTTCTTCAATGTGGCCGCATGGAATGAAACTTGGCCGCCCTTCAACTCTCGATTGCTATGTGACCGCATAGACAAAAGTCTGAACCAACTCTTTTTTTTTTTTTGTTTAATCCGTGCCTCCATATTGAATTTGTCGTGACGAGTGTGTGCACGTGAAAGAGTTCATAAAATAAAATTTACCCTTTTCCCCAAAAAAAAAAAAAAAAAAAAAAAGAGTTTTGGAACTCGGTTTTTAAATTAAGACTCGACTTGGTCTTACACCATCCCTAAAATTGCAAGAACATAATTTAGACCATATAGGTTGCATGTGGGCTATGAATTTAGTTATAAAACTGAATTTATGATTGAATTCACACCTTGACCCCGAAATTTTTTTTGAAAAACACAAATTTGAACCTCCTGACCTATGCTCAATGCATTGGGACGTGTGTGGACCATGTTTCGACTCCATATGACCTATATGGACGACCGATGACGTATAAACACCAAACATGCTAAAAAGAAAATGAAAAATTCTAAACTAATGCAAAAAGCAAATTAAACTAAAAGGATACAATGGGTTGCCTCCCATCCAACGTTAGTTTATAGTCGACTCTCCCGTGTCTATTTCATTCTGGTATTTTGAGATAGACGGTGGGCTTTTCCTTTGAAAATATTCCACTCCAATAATGCTTCAACCTTTGTCCATTCACTGTGAAGGTTCCCTTACTTTCATGGCTGATTTCAATGGCTGTATTTGGTAGTGCCTTCGTAATAGTGTAAGGAGGACCTGACCACCTCGACCTCAATTTTCCCGGGAAGACTTTGAGTCTAAAGTTATACAATAGCACTTTCTAACCCACTTCAAACTCTCGCCTCTGAATATGTAAATCATGCCACTTTTTGGTGCGTTCCTTGTATAGTTTTAAATTTTCGAATGCTTCCATTCTGAACTCATCCAACCCGTTAAGCTATAGCAGACATTTTTTACCAGCCGCCTTCAAATCCATATTCAACCCGTTATGCATACACAGTGAAGAGCTGATCCTTTTGATATCTACTATAGTCCATCCAATCGTTGTTTTATTCTACTTAAGTACCTAACTAGTTTATGTAGTTAGAATGAATCTTGAACCATTCTGTCAATGCAATGCAAGCCTCGTAAGATTCTGATGGATTGAGTAGTAAGAATGAATCTTGAACCACTCTGTCAATCACGTCGATCTGGAAGCAGCTATCTGACTCTACAAGTAGCTTCATCGCTTTGAAGACATTAAAAGAAATCTGCTCTTCTCCCAATCTCAGAATCAACTATCCTTTATGAACATCGATTAGAGCTTTGCCAATGGCCAAGAAAGATCTATCCAATATCAATGGAATAGCCTTGTCTTCCTCCATATCCAAAATGAGAAAATTAGCAGGGAAGATGAATTTCTCCACTTTGATCAGTACGTCTTTGATTATCCCTCTTGAATGTGTCAAGGTTCTGTCAGCTAATTGCAATGTCACAGTGGTAGCCTTAGCCTCTCCTAATACAAGTTTCCTAAAAATAGATAAAGGCATTAAATTTATACTTGCACCAAGGTCACATAAAGCTTTATCAAAATATATTTCACTAATAGTGTAAGGGACAGTGAAACTCCCTGAATCTTTCGGTAGGAACAACTTCTAAATTCTCATACTATATTCTTTAGTTAGCATTATCATCTCATGTGCCCCTAGATTACATTTATTTGATAGGATGTCCTTCAGGAACTTTGCGTAGCTAGGCATCTCGACTAGTGCTTCGACAAATGAGATATTTATGTGGAGCTTCTTGAAAACTGTGAGAAACTTTTTATGTTATTGTTAAAACTTATGCTTCTTTAGCCTCGGTGGAAATGTAGCTTTATCCCGTGATGTGCCTAAACCTTATGTTGGTGTAGATTCATTTATCTACTCATCAGCTTCACGGTCTCTTCTACTAAAAGAGGTATTGTTTCCCTATGTACCTATTGACGTGTATTTCAAGTAGTTGCACCCCACTTTGAGCTGTAATTGCCTTCACATATTCCTTTGGGTTTATTTTCGTGTTGCTTGGCAAGCTACATGTTGCTCTGCTAGTCAAAGCAACTGCCATCTGTCCCATTTGAGTCTTTAGATTTTTTATGACGGCATTTTGATCTTGAAGAGTGGCTTCTATTTTTCTCTCCCATTTGAGTCTTTAGATTTTTTATGACGGCATTTTGATCTTGAAGAGTGGCTTCTATTTTTCTCATGATCTGATTCTTGGCTTTCATGTACTGATTAGTCTTTTCAATGCATTTTTCGAACATCTCTTCTAGTTGAGGTTTTTTCTCTTGCTGCTGATACTGACCCTGTGGCCTATTCTAATTTTGGTTGCTCCAAAAGAAGTTAGGGTACTTTTTCCACCTCGGATTGTATGTTTTTCCAAATGAATTGTTCTACTGCGTTGTCCCCATTTAGCAAATCTTCCTGCTCTATTCCTTGTACTAAGATTGGACGCTTTGCTGTTACATGTTCAGCTCCACATTCCTCATAGCTAACCTTCTTCGTCTGTGCTGCGTTAGCTGATTATGACATATTTTTCACCTTGTGATAATAATGAGTCAATCTTTGCAGACAAGACAGAATATGCGTCCACTCCATAAATTCTCGGTGTCCTCTTCCGAACTGCTCATTCTGATGTCCACATGGCGATGTAGTAGCTATTGTCTCGAATAGTTTCGATGCTTCATCAATTGTTTTTTTGGACAGTGATCCATTAGATGTGGAGTCGACCATGCTCTTGAAGGCTAGAAGCAATCCCGCGTAGAAATATTGGACCTGGAGTCCCTTACGAATCCCATGATGTAGACACTTTCGCAGCATGTTTTTGAACCTATTCCAAGCGTCATCAAAATTCTCTGAGTTACCTTGATGGAAAACAAATATGTCATGCTCGAGCTTTGCAATCTTGGTGGGCGGGAAGAACTTGTTGCAAAATTTCTGTGCTAGATCATTCCATGAGTGATGCTAGTAATTGGTTAAGAGTCCAGCCATTCTATTGCCATGTCACGCAGTGTATGTGGGATCAACCTCGGTCAAATAGCATCGTTTGAGATTCCCT